AACCACTGCTATCATGTCAATCCCAACTCAAAATAACCCTCCGTGTCCGGCTTTCAATGCTGTGAATCTTTATGGCCTCACGCAGCTTCGTTCCCCATCTCAGACCTTGTCGTTGACAGTCCAACACTTACTTAACACCATCGCCAGTGCTCCTATAAGTTATGTAACCGGAAAATACTATGCCTTAAGCATAATCTACAGTCACGTAATCAGACACCAATTTCTTCAGATCCTAACGCTAATATTTACTTCATTTGTCAATTTAGTTTTCCTTGATGGATAGTTCTTGATTAATAATTGAGTACCTGAATAATATTGGTACCTGAAACTTCAAGTCTCTGTGATAGCAACAATTATGAGAGTTCTTGCCCTCTTCCCATGATGCTTAAAATCTAGTCAAAAAATCGAAGACAGTGAGAATTTTCATGGGATAAAACATGTTGGTACAGCCATGTACAAGGTAGCATTCAAGCCATAAAATGATTTTGAGTTCACACAAAAAATTGAGGAGGAGACATTGAAGAATTTTAAAAAGAGAGTGCTATGAAATTCAAGTTAAAAAATCATTTTAGCTAGAGGGTAAAATTTGCTCTAGAAAGGAAAAAGGCTCTATGTAGAGAGATCAGTCCTACAGAAGTGTAGGGGAGGGAGGCAACAAAGGCCTGGGGAGACAATCGCAGCTGAACAATGATAGGGACTTCATTAACCAGCTAGAAACTAGAACAAATGAGCAACTGATATTAAGGGCTAAAGTAGAAGGCAAATGTTTTGAGAATGATGAGGGCAACAAATATACATACGTGCTTGACAAAATGGATGTGTGTATGGACTGTGATAAGAATTGTACGAGCCCCCAATAAAATAATTAAAATAATAATAATCATACAGTGATAGGGAAATACATGTGGATTAAGCCTCTGGTGAATCCCCTCTGGCCATAGACCAGGGATGTGACCAACCTTGCTATCCTGCAGCATACCTGGGAAAGTGGATTACTGCAGATGCAGTTCGGTTAAAATTTAATACTGTATCATTTGATCTCCCTTTTGATCCATTTAAAACTTGTCCTAGTTTTTAATATTTGCTGTTTTCGTTTCAATTGAGGTTTTTAAATCTGTTTTACTTTGTTATTGTTTTTAGTTTGGAGGGCAGTTAAAAATGTTCTTCTGTATATGAAATCCAGGATAGATAAATCTATAGAGACAGTTACTAGATTAAAGTATAGTAGGCATGTGGGGGGAGGGGGGAGGGAATCGGAAGCCAATAACAATGAGCACAAGATTGAAGAAAATGATCTAAAACTGATTGTGGTGCTAAGTGTACAAGTCTTCTTGCTATGAATGAATTGTATAATAGGTGAATTATATGCCAGTAAAATGGACTTCAAAAAAAATGTGGATTTAAATGAAAACGTGAAACGAGGAGATGGAAGAGCAAAGGCTGACCCCAGGATTTAAGGTTTTTGAGAACTGGATAGAGAGCAGTGTCGTGATTGGAAAAGATAACCTAGGAGGACAAAGTGGGAATGGGGTGAGGTAGGGATCAAAACGGTAAGTTCAGATTTATATATGTATATGTATGTATACATGCATGCATGCTTTCTTTCCCTATCACCCAAGTTAATATGTATCTATCCTCTATTTAGGGATTTACCCTGTTTGAGATGCATCAGATTTGATCTGCTAGTGAGACATTCATATGGACCTGTAAGGTGAGTGGCAGAAAACAGATTGACCTTCAGAAGAAAACTCAGGTGTCATTAGACTATGTATTATACTTGCACCATCAGAATAAATGAGCTCACGCAGGTTCCTGTGCAGCGTGGAAAGAAAAGGTAGCTTACCTTGCTGTTGTCTTATGGCCCTTCGTTCTCCTTGTCTCAGTTCTATTCTTAGACAAACCACATTGGTTTAATAGCACACGGTTTCTCTATTTCCCAAATTATTTTTAATTGCAAGGATGAAATCACTACATGAAAAGATAATTTGTTAATGCACTGATAGGAATAATATATGTCAATTGTATCACCTGGTTCATTTATTGGTTTCTAACATTTTACGACAATAGATACAATAGCATATGTTTCCCACAACTTAGGAAATTCTCCAAGAAAAAGCAAAACAAAACAAAAACCAGAATTGTCCATTAGCATCTTAGATAACGTTACTGATCTTTAACAAACAAAAAGCTTCTTGTTGGATAAGCTTTTTCTCTTATGCTGAGTCTAATAGAAAAGCTATTTTCCCATTTAGATGACATAATACAGATCTACATTATTTTTATATGTTTATTCGTCTGTCTCTCACATAGTGTAGGATTTGTTATCATTTTTTTTGTGTTCCAACACTCCCATCCAACACAGAAATAGTCTCTTATTTTCAACATGGAAGGAATTTAAATTAAAATTATATTAATAAATTAACACTCCTAGTCCATACAATTAAAGGTTATAATTAAAAGTAATTATGATGTTGCATGTATCCAAGATTTATGTAACCTATTCACAAATTTAATCATTCTTACAACATTGTGATCACAACAAAAGTTCTTTGACAACAACATCGACAGGACAGTTACTTTAACCTCTCAATTATTTTTCATGAACATGAAAAGCTTTTAAGCATCTGCAGTTAGGTGTTATTGAAAGAAAAGCTATAGTCATAGAAGCATTAAATGAACATATTATAGTATCTGTATGAGGTATTCCACTACTCATAATTGTGGGTGGTGTGTGTGTATTCCAAAGCTGTGGCTAATCATTTTGAGAAGAGGATAAATAACTTTTGTTAAACTTTCCAAACAGAACACTTTACAAGGTGGAATTAATCTAATATTTCTTACCAGATAGGTTCCATTTTGATGAAATTATGCTCATTTATTTATCTTGAATGGGTCCAGAGGAATCAATGTCAAAGATAATTACACTGTAGTGTTATATAAACATATTAGAGCTATGTACCTGTGCCCCCCCCCCAAAAAAAATGTGGGGGTGGGAGGGCTTGAAAATAAGCAAGAAATGTAAAATGCTAGAAAAATTATTTTCTAATCTAATTTGATTTTCAGTGATAATAAACTCAATTCCAACATGGGAATCATAACATAAATCACACATGTTCCAACAATTGGTAAGAAACAAAATTCTTTATGTTCAATGCTTCTTCATTTTCTAAATAGCATCTAGGTAAAGCAGAAGTAACGTAAAATTCGAGTTTCAATTTTGGTTTCCGTTCCTGTAATTCTGAGAGACATCAGATTCTGGTTCTGAGTTCAAGAAAGTTCTCGATCAGCCAACATGAATATGGGATTAAGAACACTTGTCTGGCTGAATGTTAAGCATTTTCTCCATCATTTGACAAAATATTAATTGTATAACAAGTCTCAGATTATTTCATGGAAGCTACCCAAAGAGTTGGCAACATTTACCCGAAAGATTCTTTGGTGGGTTTAGTCCGCCAAAAGGAAAATAGATCCAAATACAATAAAGGGGAACACGTGACTCCATAGAGAAATTCATGTTTGGAAGTCTTTTCATCAGAACAGAGGGAAACACAGTACCCCCATTCCAGGTCCTGATGTGATTTGGAAGCCAGTTTATTTATCCTTTCGTTTTTGAATGCTGAAGCTGCATTCATACATGAACAGCTTCTTTATTCGGGTTTACTTCGCTCTCAGAACCATTCAAAAGAGTTTCTTTGCATTCACTCCCAAGCCAACCTAGCATGCAATCAACCTGAAGCAAGGTATTTTTTTCCTTATTGTGCTGCCCTGTCTCTAAGTAGGAGAATTTTCCCCTACGTGCTTTAGCCAGTTTTCCAGCAACTACAAGGTGGATGCTTTGATCCAGGTGCTCACTTTGCTTCTTAAAATGAGAAATCAGGAGGCCTTCATCCGCCAGAATGACAGCTCTGGTCAGATATACCCATCTACTTGCAAACACCTGCTGCCTTAGACGTCAGTAGCCTCTGTGAAAGAGTCATGGGGCCCATTCTCCTTTTTGACTTCCAAGTTCTTTTTAGCCTTGAACGTCACAGACACCTCTGAATGCATGGGGTCCAGCGTCTGCTCACAGCAGAAGGCTGAGAGGAAAGCCTTCCTGTAGTTGCTGTTCATCCAGCCGTAGAGGAGGGGGTTTGCAAAGGTGGAACACATGGCGATGATGTGGAACACCGTGAAGATGAGTTTGTACTCCTTCAGGTCCAACACCTGGTGGTCAATGTCAACAGCAAGTTGGAAGGCATGGAGGGGCAACCAGCTGACCGCAAAGACCACGACCACACACACAAGCATTTTGGTGGTTTTTTGCCTTCGCTGATTGTAGTGGTCATTTGCAGCCCCGGGTCTGACGTGGTTCTTCAGTTTACTCCAGATGCGGATGTAGGAAAAAGATATAATTCCCAGAGGCAGCACATACAGAATTAACAAGGAGGAGAGGCTATAGACAGTTCCATAAATGCTGTTCTCCTCACCAGGCCACTTTTCAGTACAGGCCACGATTTCAAAGTCTGGAATTATCTCAATCAGGGAATACTCCCGAAAGATGGCCAGGGGGCTTGCCAGTAGAGCACTGACGCCCCAGGCCAAGCCAATGATCAGGAAGCTGATGTGTTTGGAGATCTTGCTTTCCAGGTGGTAGACAATGCATTGATGCCGGTCCAGGGCAATGACTATCAAGGTGATTGTGGATACCTGTACTGCCAAGCCCTGGGCATAGGGCACCAGGTGGCATAGGACAGGACCCATTTTCCACTCCCCCATTAATGTGTAGATGAGAGTAAAGGGCAGACACAAGGTGTTCACTAAAAGGTCAGCTACAGCCAGATTTGCGATGAAAAAGTTAGTGACTGTACGCATGCTCTTGAATTTGACCACCACGTGGATCACCAGGGAGTTTCCCATCACCCCAAGCAAGATGATGGAGGAATATGCCAGGATGAGGACAATCTGTACCTCAACCAGTTTAGTGCTGTCTAGAAGCTCCGGCTCAGGGTCAGGGGGCAACTCATCGCTAGGAGTGGTCTGCCTTGGCCCAGATGGCTCCACCTTCACATCTTCCACTGTTCCGTTCTCCTCAGTCTCTGAACCTAGTGGGCCCATGGTGAGCACAGTTCCACGGTGACAATTGAAAGACCCTACAATAGAATAATAACAATGATGGACCAAAGATAACCCAGGAGTGAGGCAAGTAAGTATCACAGACAAGCTGATTTAATTTTAGCTGAGGCTCAAAATATCTGTCCTTTGATCTTAAAATGTGACATAATAACACATTTTAATAAAGAAGATCCTTTAGTAAACCTATTCACAAATATGGATCAACTAAATAAGATTTATGATATATATATGACATATAATATATAACGATCACAAATTCATTATATTTTATATAAGCATATTTAAGATACGTCAATATGTAGACTGTTTACAACTTACAAACATTGCAATTAAATTACATAGAATAGTGACAAATATTAAAACTGTTTGCCTCGTGCCTGAACTTTGAGGGTATGTAATAGTTAAGGTGAACTAAGCAGTCTGTTCATAGCTGTTTTTTTCCTGTTGTAGAATTAGTTTTAGTAATGGGTCTGCTGTATAGACTTGTTGCTTTTTGAACATTCCAAAAGAAGTTTCCTACCCATATGCAACAGAAGGTAGTATTTGAAAATTCTATATGTTTAAAAATATCCCTTCAATCTTTAATTATAAAAGTTTTAATACCTCTTTTTCCTAATCCAGGAGAAAGATGAGACTTTCTGCTCCTAGAAGAGTCATAGTCTCAGGAGCCCACAGGGGGCAGTGGATAGGCAGACCCCTATCCTAAGGGGGTCACCACAAATCAGCATCGACTCAATGGCAGTGAGTCTGGTTTGGAGACTTCCCCCTTATCTCCCCTCCCAGTGTATTTTTCCTTGTGTTCCCTAACTGTGTCCATGGTATTCCCATTGACTAAGTCACTCAAAGTTCAACAATAAAGTAAACAGATTTCATCTCTTATAACCCCCACCATTAAGAAGCCTTTCAGATTGGGGCTCTTAACGATCTCTTCCAGCTTCCCTTAACTCACCGTGTTCACCAAAATTGTTTGCTCGATCTCAATCTCTCATTGGTTTTATTGTAATGGTCTTCTAATTTATATCCCTCCCTCCTTTCTTCCTTCCTTTCACTCCTTCACTTAAATATAACTGAATCTTAAAAATATTAAATGCTCAGCACAGCTATAAATTCTACGGATATAGCAGTGAACAAACAAAATTTCCTACCTTCAAGAAACATTTTTTTAAATGTCAGGAAGTAGGATTTTTGGTGGGCAAGAAATAAATAAAAACCTGCAAGATAGTAGCTATATACAAAGATTTGTTGCATCTTACTGTACAAAAATGAAAACACAATCATAGCATTCTTCTTAATATCTCTAGATTTCTTTAGGCAATATATTGATTTATAATATAAATCCCCCTTTTAAAGTTAAAAATATTTAGAGCCTAACATCATAGTACCTCTGAATTTATCCATAATAAAAAAGCTGCTGTTATTCATTCAGGACCTCTTTTAAATGAATTTGTCTGTTACTAATCATAATAGCTTCTATCAACAATGTTATTGTTATCATGTATGGTCAAGTCCATTCTGACTCAGAGTGAGCCCATGTGATAAGAGTAGAACTGCTTCCATCAAATTTTCTGGACTGTAATCTTCATGGGAGGTCTATTCTCCCTCAGGGACTGGTGGATTCAAACTGTAATTAACAGCTAAGCGCTTAGCCATTGAGCCCACAGTGCACCACCTAAGGTGGTAGGTGAGTCATTGTTATTCAGTCCCCAGACAATGTCCTAGTTCCTTTCTCTGACATGCTGCCTTTACCCAGGGAAGTGTGGTTGTGTGGTTGCATGGTAGCATTTCTGGAAAAGTGGGAGAGTCCACATCCAGTCCAACAACCAGGAGGAGCCCAATGAACAACTCAAAGCACAAAAATGAAAAGATACGAAGATAAGAGAAAACTTTCTTTGAAAGAAAACAAACGTAGATGTTCACATTGTTCAAGGCATTTAAGAAAAACTGCTAAGTGGTACAGCTTTCTTGAACAAGTGAGAGATTTCTTTAAATGAAATATTTCTTTATAAAAATATCATATTTATGAGGTATTCCTTAATCAAGTAAACTTTCCTAAGATTCTTTAATTAACCCCTGATTATAGGATTTAAAATGTTCTGTCAATATAGTTTGGGAGACAGACGGGGCTTTTTACTCCCATAAACAGTGACAGTCTCAGAAACACACAGAGGCAGTTCTGCCCAGTCCTACACAGGGTCTCTATGAGTCGACATCAAGTTGATGGCAATGAGTGAATCAGCATATTTCATAAAGAAACCTTTCAATTTCAAGGATTTATCACACACACACACACACACACACACACACACACACACTTAACATGAGCCTGACTAAGCAGAGGGAAATTGCTCCACTGACCTAGTATAGTTCTTTTTGCGTAAATTCAAAGAGAATGTTCCAAGGCTTGTGTGCTTTCCTTCCCATTGGCTTCCATTCTTTGGTAATTGGAGGAAATGGAAATTAGGCATTCCATCCTTGGAATGTATATTTAATAAGCCTTACCATTTCCCTTGGATTAAGAAAGAGACTGACTCGACAGAGCACAATTAGTCAGTCCTGACAAATCATTAATAGAATTAACAAGACTCCAGAGGTCTGATTTTGGGGATGGCAGCAGACTCAATTGAGAGGCAGCATGAAATGGAAGGATAATAGGAGTAGGAGCATATTTGATTTATAGATCTATTTTGCTTTACCTTTTGGTCTTCTATTATTTCAAAGGCACTTTATTACAGAGCTTCTCTGCAGAAATGGACATTGGTCAACAGGCTATTAGCATATGGAAACAATTAACTAATCTTAAGCACACTATGAGCCTTGGGCCAGGTTAATGCTTTGCCCAGAGAATTGGTCATTTTATAACAGCACTTCTGGAAATGTGGAAGATGAAAAGAGAATATATGGAATGAATTACCAAATTAAAAACTCCAAAACACAACTTTAAAAGAAAAATAAATAAGGCAACCCCCCCCCCCTTAGAAAAAGGGCAGAATCAGATGTGCCTATTATTCAAGGCATGTGAGCACTGTGAGGTGTTCCGGTTTCTTGAACAAGTGACTTTGTAGTAGATATTTCTTTGTAGGATAGAAAGTTGGTTTCAAGGTTTAGTTTTATTTTCCTCAAGAGGTTCAGAGAACTTACGATATCTGAGGAGTAGAATAGTTCATAGACTATAAAATAAAATTTGTAGGGACTTTTGCACTAGCTCTCTTGAACAATAGGTCTTGGCAAAATTTAACATTCTTAATTACAACACCTTCCAGTAATTTTCTCCAGAGAAAAATCCCACAAATCAAGCCAAGCCCCCTACACTAGTTAAAGGACTTTCAAGAATGTTACATACAGACACGACTCTTCCCTCCTAAATGGAAAGTTGATATTATTCACCCAAGAGTCTGCGAACTTCTCCCTTCCATGTTTTTGAGCCTCTGGCCTTCCTTTGTAAGAATATTATCTATTTCATGACATTGAGTTCAAGATGTTTCTAAAAAGAAGTCTTAAACTTTTGTCTACACCCTTTCCAACATATGCTCCTACCAGTGAGTGAGCTCTTAGAATAATTTTTTTAAAGAGGAATTGCTTAAATGGAAGTGCCTATTCTTGAACAGATTGGAGAATCCCATGTGACCTTCTCAGA